AGACATGTCTGCCACGCAGGACGAAAGTGCAACGCTACAGTAGTCCCTCCTTTCGCGCGCTCCTAGCCCCCAGGATTTCGCGCGGCCATTTTTTTCTTGCGAATTTCTTTCGCGTCACGCACGACGGACTAAGCGAAAGAGGGACTACTCGTAGTCTACAGTCAAACCAAGTGAAGCGTACCCCTCAAGATTACATTAATGAATTGATTATTTGAATATTGAACTCGCTGGTCATTCCAAAAATCAATATTAAATTGACTTTGTTTAAACATTAAACCCAGCAGCCGTATTCTTGCGGAAACGACTAGACATCTGTTCGTCGTCGTTTGTCGTTTTGCCGTTTCGTCGTTTCGTTATGGCATTTCATCGTTTGGGTGTGGCGTTTCATCGTTTCGACTCGTCCACTGGTAGAGGCTATAATTTGACTTACATTACATGATCTGTTACTTGATTCCATGCACTTATACATGAAGAATTTATCCATAATTTGCTCTCTGCCAACTGAAAATGGATTCTTTAGAGGACTACCTACACCACAGCATAGAATTCGTCTTGAATCGCGTCAATGATCGTTTCAATGCGTGCAGAACTTGCGTGCAGAACTTGCCTGCAGAACTTGCGTGCAGTACATCCATGTATATGCCGGTGAAGATATTTATTGGTTTGGCAAGAATGTAACGCAAGTATTGGAATCCCAAATATGACAAATGGAAGAATCGCACCGACATGACTGTTATTTTTAATTAACATTGACCAATTCTGCACTGGTTAGAGAACTGCGTTTTTCAAAGTGGATTGGTATTCAATGATGCGTCACAGCCGAATCATCTTTCCAATAGAATGCAATGCAAGTTATAACATTTTCACGCTGTAAAGATCCCTCTTGTCCACTTTCTAAAAAACTGAATTTATTAATTAAACAAATTAGAGATTTTCTTGTTAGCACTCTCTGTTTCAATCTTAGGTTAAAATTATTCCCAGTGTATTTCAATGATTTCTGCACAGAAAATACTTGATTTCATAACCATTATACAAGGAAGTCTGATAATCTACACAAAAAGGGACAAATTAAGGTGTTAACGCATCAAGAAAAAAAGTAATTAATATATGGAACACTATTCCACATGAAATAAAAGTCTTTTTCAAATATATTAAAAAATCCTTTTTCAAAATCAGTTTTAACTATCAGAATAATTTTTGCCTATTGCAATTTAATTAGTACTACACAGCTGTCATTACTTGCTTATTCCTGGTACCAAATTTCTTAGATATTTTGTCAATAAGGTCATTTATGGGGGGACTACGTAAAGGTTTCTTTAGTGTGCCTCCATGCTTTCATACTTGTCTTAATGTAACATGCATCGACCGAAATGGAAAAATAAATATGCCTAATTGATTAATTAATTGATTGACTGACTCACAGAAAAGTCGAGCAGTATTTGTTCCGCAGTACGATTATTTATTCCCAAGGTATTGTTCCAAAAGTTGCATTGCAATATCTATGCTGGCACGACCCCTGAATCCTGTAAACTTGACAACTGTCTTTGCAATGAGTTGTCTTCACCATCAAGAGCAAGGTGTGTTACTAGATATTCAATCCCATTTCTGCTTTCATGAAAACGATCATTTACGCGATTGAAGACGAATTCTATGCTGTGGTGTAGGTAGTCCTAAAGAATTCATTTTCAGTTGGCGGAGAGCAAATTATGGATAAATACTTCATGTATAAGTGCATGGAATCAAGTAACAGATCATGTAATGTAAGTCGAATTATAGCCTCTATGAGTGGACGAGTCGAAACGATGACGTCACAAGTACCAGTTGTGACGTCATCAATTTAAATGTCACCAGATATTCTTGATAAGCAGATAGTGGAGCTAGAATAAATCTATCCGCACACCAGGCTGTTTAGGATATCTACGGCATTCTGACGTAGCAAATTGAAAAAGTTCGAATTTTGTCCTATGCGTGTGCGCCAAATTAAAATATTGTACATTTTTGTATCTAATCTTGGGGAAATCTATCTTTTTGGCAAAAAGTAACTTTCTCAGCGAAACTAAGGCCCATTTAACGTCATGGCAGCCAAAAAAACTGATTTAACGGTATTTTTTTGGTAAAAGTTTGGCAGTCATGGGTTAAGACATCATTTTACTGAGACAGAGAGTACTCCCTTTCATGTCACACTATTTAATCTGCTTTTATATTCATCATGATCATTCTTTATATCCAGTACAATTCTACTTTCACACAGGACTAGTACCTTTACATCATGCAGTAGTTTCACAATATTACAGTAACGAGTGATCCGCATCATAAAGATGTTGCTATGATAATCAGTACACCACACACACATTGAATTTAAATCGTTAAAATACATAACAAATAGCCTCTACTTAGTCGAAAATATGGTCGGACATTTGTCCGAGGACATAATCTGTTCCGAGAAGCGAACAGTTTTGCGAGAGCGTAGCTCGAGGAAAAGTGCGAGCTTCGAGGAACATATAAGGTCCAACGACAAATATCCGAGCATATTTTCGAGCCAAATGGAGGCTATTGATTTTATTATCCTTCAAATATTTTTCGCAACACTCGCAGTTTTCAAAATTGGGGAATATGTGAATAAAGCAGCCGGTATTGCAGTTATACGTGGCTTGACATACAAACAAGGCGAAAGTGTCAATAGACCATATTTGTATTCACGGTATTAATTGGACCATTGTATTAGACTGGAACTAGCTTGCAATGGAGGTTCATGCGGGGAAATAAAACTTACATTTGAAAAGACTTCCCGCGTTAGCCTTACTTGCAAGCTGGTCTACTCTGCTTTGTATTGACCTTTCGCATCGTTTGCATGTTTTTTTAAACAAAAGATTATTTCACCTCAGACTCACACTCCTTGGCTAAAATAAAAAGTAAGAGAAATTTAAATACGCTTGACAAAGATCTAAAACGATTCCTTTAAACCTTGTCATTAAGTAAGTTGTCTACCACCATCTGTATGGCTCCTGGGTAGGTATAACCAAACAACTCAAAGTCTTTCTTGTAAATGTTCCAGAGTTGTCTTATCCTAAGCAGTGACAGCGTGGAATAGTAATTCTTCATCAAAGCGCTGGTGTTAGTTGGCTGCCATTCTGGAAAGAACACTTTGTCGTCTAGTTTAGTCTTTCTTAAAACGAATTGCGCATCATCTTGCAATGTTTCGTAATGGCCGACATAATCAAACTGTACTTGGCATGGATGACACAACTTATACTGTTCACGCCAGTGTTCTTGAAATAAGCCGCCTTCCCTCCATCGAAGAACCAAATAGGTTGCAAATTGTTCGAAAGTTGTGTTATCAACATTAACGTCGATGTCAAGACCGCTATGTTTGGCCAAAAGTTTTCTAATTTCCTTGCGATAATATTTCCAACCTTTGTGGCTTCGCTTGAACTTTCCCCAAAAGCAATCTTTGTATGCGGATAGAAGAATATTGTCTCCGAGAGACGACCATGTTAGCTGGTATATTTTTAACTTCAGGATTTATCAAGGATCTCTACGATCTTCGAGGTGATTGTTAAGTATCAGCGCTGATGTTCCCGTCAAGGGTTCTTTAAATATCTTGCTTAAGATTTTCAAACTTCTTGCTTAAGAACTTCAACTTTAACTTCATCTTGCAAAAATCACTGAAGGGAGGCCTTTGTTAAAACCTTGGTTAGGATCCTCTTTGCAGTTAAGAATCTCTTTACAAAGATCGTTTACGGTATCCAGTTAGGGTCAAGCGAGTGACTTGACTACTTTGGATCTCGGAAAAAATCGGAAATGACTCGGCCTTACTCTTGAAAATATACCGTGCAGTTTGTAAAACAATTCTTTGTTTTTAATTGTGTTGATATTCAGTTAAGTTGTACGCTTGTCGAATTTCATTGTCAGGTCATAAACAACACTTAGTTCGGGCTACCTCCGTACTCAAAATTAAATGACTGATAAGAAAAGATAGTTAATTGTTTCCGATTGCGGTGCGCTTAAGCTTACGGGATTTTGTTTTCGTATAAAGATCGTAGCCATTTCGTGTAAAGTAGTCTTGTACAGATTTCGCCGCTTCTTAAGATATCGTGGCTACGTGACTTATATCTTTTTGAAACTTTTTACAGGGAACATGAGTCATGTTGATAATGTCTTTTAAAATAATTATTAAACTCACCTCTGTTACGTGATTCTTGAACCCTCGATCCGTCTTCATAATAAGTAGCAACGGTAGCATGGAAATCAGAGAAATTAGCAAGATGGCTGATACTGAACACAGTCGATTGACACCGAAACGCCTGATCGCCATCTCACTAATAAGCTGCAAAAGAAATAAAACTAGCA